CCTTTGTCTTGATTATAGCAATAATGAAGTCATTTATTGGTCAAATGTGAACATTTTCAAGTATTTTATAATTTTGGATTCTATTCAGAAATGCAAGTTCGGTTATTTCGAATCAGCTCTGCGATAGATTGACAGAGATATTATAATTTTAATATACTTCATTTTCATTTGAATACTTCATTTCAATTTCAAATCCATATATTCAATGATATTTCTACTAAATTTTGGCTTATATTCAATGAGCACCGATTAAACCCAGATTAAATATTTCGCGGTTCTTCCGCAATTTTTCCCATGCAATTCAAATGGCACTGTATTGTCGACGAAATGAAGTTCGAAAAATTCGAAAACGGTTGCGGCCTGTGCGTCTATCGGGCAGTACCAAACTTCTGCTTAGTTTGTACCTTTGTAGTCGCGCCGTTTTCGCCATCTTTGCTTTTTCTGACGTATAACACTGTGGCTCATAAGTGCACAAGTAGCATCCAAAAAGAGACGTGAATATTTCGAAGTTTGACAAATCAAGGGGAGATTTTTTTGGCTGCGAATTTAAACGCTTTACGAAGAAAATTGTTTCAATTGAAGCCATAGACGCATAAAATTGGTTACAGTTTATCTACGAAAGCCACTAAGAAGTTGTGAAATTTTATCACATTTGACAAACACACAAACAAAGGAAACATGTCTGGAATCGCTGTTGCTCGACTCGGTGAAGAACGGAAGGCATGGAGAAAAGATCATCCATTCGTGAGTATTCTGTCGCAATTTCTCGATAAAATTATGAAAAAAAATGCTTAAAAAATTGTGTGATTATTTTTCAGGGTTTTGTGGCTCGCCCAACCAGAAATCCGGACGGCACATTGAATTTGATGGTTTGGGATTGCGCTATACCCGGCAAAAAAGGGGTAATTATATCAATAATTTTTTTAATAATATTTTGAAAATAAATGCGGAAGCAACAATTGCAAAAGAAAATGTCGATGGGCACGACAAACAATAGATTGAAGTGGCTAGCAACATGGCTATTCCGCAACATGGTGCAATACAATCGTACTTTTTTTTCGTCGTACACAGTGTATGTACACGGAATACATTGAAAGCGGATCGTATGTGTGTGTGTGCAATAGCATTCGATCTCGCTCGCTCCAATACGGTTCAATGGGGGAATCGAATCGGTTTCCCTGTCCAACTACCACACAAAGCTTACCAACGCTGTGCTTGTAGTTATTTCGAGCAAATTCCATTCTCAGTGTTTACTTTGTGATTTTTTTCGATTTTTTTTCCTGCAATTTTATTGCAAAATCGATAAATATTTGGTTTTTTTTTCGGTTGAACTAATTGATTTTGATTTGTTCCATTTTTGTTTCTTTCAATTTCATGAATATTCATCGTGTTCGTTAGACTCCATGGGAAAATGGTTTGTACAAATTGCGAATGATTTTCAAAGATGACTATCCAACCAGTCCACCAAAGTGCAAATTTGAACCGGCTTTGTTCCATCCGAACGTGTATCCATCGGGCACAGTTTGTCTGTCGTTGCTCGACGAAGAGAAAGATTGGCGTCCAGCGATCACAATTAAACAGATTTTGCTCGGTATCCAGGACCTGTTGAACGAACCAAACATTAAGGATCCCGCTCAGGCCGAGGCATACACTATTTACTGTCAAAATCGGCTAGAATACGAAAAACGAGTTCGCGCCCAAGCCCGAGCTATGGCTGCTACTGAATAAACTCCCCCATCTGTTACTATCATGAAAACAAACGCCGATCAAACCGAGAAAAAAAACAATCTTTTGTGAGCGTGACTGCTGATGGTTGACATGCAAATATTCAATTCTTCATAAAAACAACAACTGGATTTTCTAAACATTTATCTCCCTATTTCTCTCCAAAAAAAAATACAAATTCTACAGTGTTGACATTAGTTCCGATTATGACGCACTTGATAAAAAAAACATAATTAATAACAATAAAAATGCTAATTTAAATTGGAAAATGTCAAACGGCAATGAAAACACAAAACTGAATTGAATAACTTTGTGGAAAGCTAAGATAAGAAAAATAAAATAATCGATAATTTTACGAACCAAACAAAAAAAAGTGAAACGGAAAATTCAATCTCGACTTTATTTTTCATCTGAAAATTTCCAGCTCATTTTTTTTTTACTCCTTCTTCATTTTCAGAGTTTATTTTCAGTTTTCATAGAGATTAGACATTCAAACATTTTTGGTGATAAAACACATGAAATAAAGCACGCCAATCGCTTCGCTTGGTTCACCCCAAGTTGATTGACGGAAAATACACAGAAAAATGCCTTTTTATTTGTACAGTTAGAAGTCGTTTAGTGGTAATCAAATGGTATTTTCAGAGCACTTTCGAGGACAATGTTTTTTTTTCTGTGAGGAAAACGTTCTTTTTCAGCAAATGGATTCGCTTGGAATGTAATTTTTGGTTACAAATAAAGACCTGTTCATGAGGAAATGTGAAACCGAAACAGTGTTTTGGTAAGTATGACATTGGAATGAATGTCATTCGATCCATTTAGTCGGTCAGTCAGTCAGTCAGATAAAGAAATCCGAAAACGGTACTCATAAAAGAGTTCTAACCTATTGTCACACGACCGAACGAATCGGCATCAAGAACATGATTTTTGTACAGTCACAATCGTATAGACTGTTTGGTTCACTCGCTCCAATGTGCATAAATGATTGCAAACTGTCGTTTTGTTTATCTTTTTTGGCAACACTCATTAAACAAATAAACATCTCACGCTGCTGCTATTGTAGTTGTTGTACCGCTGTGTGGTCGTAACTGTGCATTAGAAGAGCTCATTCAATACCAATTGAATTGCGCACAAAACTTCAGAGACATATGATGTGAAAAAGTACAAGAGCACATTGTGTGCTGTAATTAAAACGAAATTTGTCCAATAAAACGACAAAGTTTAGGAATAATGTCGTCGCTACGAGATTTAACCGATATTCCAGCTAAATATCGTTCAATATTCTCGCCAATTCGTCAATTCAATCGCGTGCAATCCGAGATTTTCGATGATGTGTTCAGAACAAGTGAGTTTTGCATTATGAAATAGTTAATCGTACATTCCATGTGATTTTGTTTTATTAAAACAGAGAAGCACATTGTGGTCAGTGCACCGACTGGCAGCGGAAAAACAGCAATATTCGAACTGGCCATTGTCAATCTGTTGATGAGTCTGGAACAGACCAATTGCAACACGGAAAGTGTCAAAATTGTTTACGGTAGGTCGCCTCATTCTCATACTAAAACTAAAACACAAACACGTAACTGTAATAATTCTGTGTGTGGATTTTGTTTTCGTGTAGTTGCACCAACGAAGGCGCTATGCAACGAAATGTTTCAAAAGTGGCAAGAAAAGTTCAGTGCGGCAGTCGATTTGAAAGTGGCTTTGGTCACCGGTGACTCTGATCCAACCGATATGTCAGATTTGATTGACTTGTCACCGTATCAGATCGCTGTAACAACACCGGAAAAATGGGATTCCATGACACGTAAATGGAAAGATCATACGGAGATTGCAAACGCAGTCCGTTTGGTGTTGATTGACGAAGTGCATCTGGTTGGCGACACATCGCGTGGCCCAACACTCGAAGCCATTGTATCACGAATCAAAACATTTCCACAGAACCGACGCAACAATGGGCAAATACGTTTCATATCGGTATCAGCATCGTTACCGAACATTGAAGACGTTGCCAAATGGATTTGCGCCGGACAGCCAGACGATTCGGTGCGCACATTTAAGTAAGGATTCAAGACATACACATCATAATCGAAAGAAATGAATATTTTTTCATGATTTTTCTCTGGATTTTGCAGAATTGAAGAGAATCAGCGACCAATAAAACTCAAACGCTATGTACGCGGCTTCACACCACAGACAAATTCATTTTATTTCAACAATTACCTCACCAGTGAGTTGATCAAAATTGTGGACGGGATTCTTGCTCAACTTTCCACTGAAAAACAGATTTTGGTTTGTATCACGGTTCATTCATTGAACGTTGTATTGATCAGAACAGTGATGAAATGTTCAATTTTCCCTGTAGATATTCTGTCCAACACGAAACGATGTTGAGTCATCGCTAGATCAGCTACGCAACGGAGGCCAACTGCTCGGAAAAGTGCAACTGAATGGAATGCAACGATCGATTCTGAAAGATGTCTGCTCAAGGTAATATTCATTGTTCAACTAAAGTAATACACGTGGAAAATGATATTTTTCTTCAATTTTTTTCCCCTACATTTTTCCATAGGATAAAAGATGACAAACTACGATCAGCCGTTAAAGTTGGATTCGCATTTCATCATGCTGGCCTTTCGTATGATGATCGCGAACAGATCGAAAATGCATACAGAAATGGTGCTATTAAGATTTTGCTTAGCACAAACACACTCGCCATGGGCGTTAACTTACCAGCACATACGGTCATCATCAAATCGACTGAGGTAATTTTTAAGCCTTGGAAAAATAGTAGTGTTAGTGAAAAATAGGTTTGCTATTGAAAGAAAGTACAATTTTCATTTTTGATTCTTTTAATTTTTTTTATTTTTTCTCCAGCATTTTTTCAAGGGTACGACTCAAGAGATCTCTGACTCAATGATCCTGCAAATGATGGGTCGAGCGGGTCGCCAACAATATAACACCACTGGATGTGTTTACATCATGACCAAAGCAGACAGAAAAGTGAGTAAAAAAACGGTTCGTTTTGAATTGTTAGACAGTGTGGACGGTCATTTTGTTTTTATTGAGGAGACAATTATCGCACTTTAGAACATTTTAAAGACAAAAATATAACAAGATGACAATTAATCAGCGAATAATTTTTATCCTTGAAGTGGATTGGCATTATCTTGGAATGTCACTTTCGGCACGAATCCCGTTTCTTTGGCTACTGAGTATTCCACTGTCATTAAACGTCCGTCTGGCAGCCATACGGAATATTTTCCAGTCACCTGATGATGAAAAATTGCATTAAGCACACTTTTTTTTCTTCGTTCACAATGGGAGAAATTCACATATTTTTCGAAAAAATATCTTCGTATTTCTCAAAACAATCAACGATTTTACCTTTCCTGACGCGTCGCCAATTTCGTTTTTATCGAAAAATAGCATTTTCTCCGGATCTTTCACTTCGTACTGATATTCATACTAAAAATTGAAAGAAAATCAGAATTTCATTCCACAAATTGAATAGAAGCAATTGACGGATTTATTCAATTTTTCACAAAACTTCTTCTTTGACAAAAAAAATTGAAACAAATGCACAAAACTCAAAGAAAAATCATTACCGGCTCATATTTCTCTTGGTCTGCTGGCGCTTGTGGTGCTGCATAGGCAGCAGCGATGATTAAAACACCCAAAAACAAACCGATTTTCCACATGTTTATTGTTCAACTGTGAATTGAATCACGGGCACTTCGATGCAAAAGCACACGATCACTTTGTATGATTTATGAAAACAAAATTTGTGACAACGATCAATTTGCCGTTGCAATTGTTCTTCTCTCGGTGAGCGCTGTTGTTGCTATCAATGATGTAACACTATTTGCAATGTCGACAAAATCTCATGCTATTTATTCCAATCGAATGGGCACCAGTCGCGCGATGTACCAAATGCACACGTTTTATATTATTATGATATACGTATTCAATGCAGAAACTGAGAGATGCAAATGTCAAAGCTGAATGCGTTTTATGTTAATTCTCAATCACCCCGGTTCATTGACTAAAGTGATGGCGAACATGCAAGGTGGCTTATATATCGAAAATCGCTCCTGTCGATTTCCAGCTAAATGCGCTGAAAGCATCTCAGGTCAAAGGTAATTCGCGTAATAAAAGTTGTCACTGTATGCGCGCCGCTGGTATACCGAGATATGTATGCTCATTTGCTGTGCACTGAGCGTGTGTGCATCAGAGGCATTTAAAGCATACAGGCAACGGGGATAAATGGCTTCGTTCCAATGAAACACGGCAAACCGGCATACATTGAATTGCTTCGCTTCGAATTTCAATGGAAGGGACTATCAAATACATTTAATATATCGGCATTTGGCAACCATCTACATGGCATGTGTCTCAATTTCCATTGGAGATGCAATTCGCTTTGGTATTTATGATTTCGATAGTCAAATTTCGACGGCATTAAGTCAAACAGAGAGAGAGAGAGAGAAACGGCAACAACAACGAAAAGAAAAAAATCGACTGAAACACTGAAACCGATCAGAAAATTGATACAGGCATGTTTCATGAGCAGCGACATTTTTCATCAGCCCACAATAGTCCCAAAGCCAATATATTTATTATTTAGAGTGTATCAATTATATTGTTATTCGGTCGATTTTTGCATCGATCGGAGAAGAGGCAGAGGAGAGCAAATTGAATAGGCTAAACCAAATAATCAATGCACATGGAACATCGGCTCGAAGCGAAGAGCTGATGATATTTAACCTTCACAATCGTGTTGAGGCGAGGCTGTTTGAACTTCATTTGCACACGATACTCTTGTCCCATTGCCTAATTTGGTCCGAGAATTCAATACGAAAATTAGACATTTTTCAAGAGTCATCAAATCAATTGCGATTTTATGAGGAATTAATCGTTGACACATCAAGTTTTAGGTCGAAAATTTTGACTCGAAAATTCACAAATCTTGGAAAAAAAATTGCATCTTTTTTAAATTTCAAAGGAAAATTGCAATTTTTTTAATGTTAGAAAAAAATGATAATCTCTGACTTTTGGCCGAAACAATTTCTTTCCTTTTTTAGTATCTCATAAAAACTCCAACAAAACCTTCGCATAGAATTCACTTAAATATTGGAAAAGAGTAAATAGCCAAGGGGTTAATGTCGTTATTAGCCGCCTTTTTCTATTGTTATTGTTTTCCAAGTGAAACCATCTCATTATAAATCAACTGTGTTATAATTTTATTTTCATCACTTGATTCAATAAGGTGAAGAATAAGGCATTAACTATCGAAAATAACTTATTTAAATACCGGCTTTAATCATTTTCCTCATATTTGAAAAAAATCAAACGACTATACGACAAAGGAAAAAAAAAATACGACATTAAAATCTGTGTGCTGTTCAAGTGAATTCTAAGACCTGAGTGCCTCCGTTGTTGCAAGCCAGCAAGCAAAACGGTGCGAACAAATAATGCATGGAAAAACAGGCGAAAAAGAAAACGAATGATCGTGTGGAAAATCGTGATTGATGAAAATGTCAAGTGAATACCTTGCTCTATAATATACCATGCGAACAAACGAATAAAATATAATAACGAGTTAACCGCATTCAAATGCTCTAGAATGCACTTTGCATGCTCTTTCGATTCGTCCAATTCGATTCGGTTCGGTTTCGATACACACACACACACACAAATATACAGGCAAGTTTGTGTCTATGTGGAAAATTTATCTATCTTTCATGTGACCCGTGCGCCGAGAACAATCGATACATTTTATTAAATGATTTAAATGCTTTTGGCGTGCAATGCCTTGTTAGTTTAAGGGATTTTCGTACCATGTCGCGCTTCTTCTGTGTCTGTATCATAGCACAGCATACTACACCGAGTGTATAAGTGTGCTGGGAGAGACTGCAGACGGTTCAATTGCATTCATTGATGAGTCGCGTCGCAACCGATGAAATCATTGTGCCAAATTTGGACTGTTGGAATTTGGCATCTGGGTTCAAACGAGGCATCAAGCAGGACAAAGTGACTATTAGGGCCAATTTAGGAAATCAATTACGTTTTGGAATTAAATCAATTTGTAAAACGAATTAAATTTCCTGCCAATTCATGCCGTCATCCATACACACACGGCGGCATCGCAGCTACTGCTACTTAATAATGGGAATCCGTGACTCGAAAATAATAATTACCAACACTTTTTATTTGCCGATTTGCTCATTTGCAAACAATGAAAAATGCTTTTTCTGGCTGAATGATGGCAATGCAAAAATTGATGAAAACACACAACACACACACGGGTGCGCGGCATTAAAATTTTTAAAGTCACCTTCTCCCTGCTGTTGAATTGCTCAATAAATTTCAATCATAAACATATTTTTGCATATATGTGCCGTCGAATACGAGCAGCAAATGAACGCTTGATGCGCACTTTGATTATTTATTGCAATCAGTCAATTGATTAATGTATCGTGAACTGGCAACTGGAAATCGGCATCTTTCCCCTCGCCCGAATCGAAAACGAACACCGAATGAGAGATTCGAATGAATAAACAACCGGTCAGAAAAAAAAACTAATGTGTGCAAATTCTTCGCTTTTTTTTCACTGTATTAAACAATTTATTGTCATGTTATAATGCCAAACCCAACCACAAATGACTTAGGAGCCGTCAATTAGATGTATTTCATTTTCTCGATTTAACAAAAACAAAATAATAAACAATTATATAGTTTGAACCTTGGTGGCGAAGAGCAGCTTGGATTAGCATAAAATGTTACGCGTTCAGTAAAACAGAATACGAGGCACGTTGTCAACTCGGCCCCGGTAGAACACATCTTTTTTTATTGGTAACTCTCATGACATTTCAAATTAAGTGTGGTGTTTGTTTGTTTCTCCACTCAATGCGCGTCGTCAAATATGCACTTTTCGCCGTTTGTCACCCTTTTTGCATAAATTTTATTATTCCGTTTTTTTTTATTGAGCTATTATAACACACGACGTTACCTTTTGCGTTGCAAGATTGTCAATTCGATTCTTTTTCTCTCTCTATTTCATACAGGAATTTTACGAGAAGCTAGCCGTGGGTACCGTACAAATTGAATCGCATTTGAACAACAAGCTGGCCGAATTTCTAAATGCTGAAATCGCATTGAATACCATTACTGATAATGATGCAAGTGTAATGCAATGGTTACGAACAACGTTCCTCTTCACACGCACCACCAATCGCTCGGCGATGACCAAAAACTCGAACGAAGAAGCTGCATTAAAAGGTAGTTTAGAAACCATACGTACAAATGACTTATGACTGCAATTTTGAAACAAAAATAAACCGCACTCGATAATCTGTTTGCACTGTGTCGAAAATCCAGATAGAAATAGAAGAAGAAAAACTTAAACTGTATGATCAATTTTGACATTTTCAATCATCAACTTTTCATTATTCGGTTGTTTTTTTTCGAGATTTTTTTTTTGATGGGAATTCTCTAATAAAAAAATCCAATAATAATAGAAAATGACTCGAATGTATCAAAATAAATCGAAATTTTGCTCGTGCGCCAAAACCAATTTTCGAAAATTATTATTTTTGTTGCACGTGTTGGTTGCATCAAGCGTCGTCTCTGTGTATTGCCGCCTAGACATTTGTCTCTCTCTCTCTCTCTCTCTCTCTCTCTCTCTCTCAAAGCGTCTTCGAATCCATTTCAATAATCATCTTAGCAATTGCAATTGCTTGTTAGGTATATATGAATCGACCTTGAGCATCGTTTTCTTTTCTTTGAATGAACGAAACATGGAAAGCGTGCAACGACGATCAAATTCAAGACAATGTGACGAGAATACCGTTTTGCATGTGCATCTGCATATAAAGTGTACACACTCCTCAAATGGGAAGAAGCTCAAATTCAAACACCAAATGATTCAGTTTAAATGCACAATTCGAAGCGATTACCAAGTTTGAGACAGGCGGTGGCAAAGGAGAATGACATAAACGGAACGGCAAAAACCCGTACAGCAATTGTCAGTAGTTGGCAATTGAATTTCAATTATTGGTTCGTGTTACTTTGTCACTCCTTGTGTTGATTGCGACGACGATGTCTCCTCCGCCAACGTCAACTCACACACACACACACACACACCAATTCACTTCGCAATCGTTCGCATAATTTATGCAATTTTCATGTTATTAGCATATTAGCGCAGCTTATTCGTTGGCTTATTGCTTTAATTACTAACTTGACATTCGGATTATTGCGAGTGAGGGACTCATTAAAAGCGCTAAATTCTTCATGTACAGAAATGACGACTTCATAAATTATTCAAGAGATATCGTTAATTATTTGTAGTTGCAGCTAAATAATTTACCGCTTTCCTGCAAATATTCAATTAAAATTTGATTTGGAGGATTCGAAAAAAGCTGCAAGAAAAATGTCCATCATAATAAGAAGCTGCCAAAGTTTTTATAACAGATAAATATTGAAATCTTACTCAGAGACTCCGTATCATAAATCTGATGCAAATCGGTGTGATGAAAAAAAAATGCTGAAAATGATCACTATTTGTTTACATAATTGTTCGACGCGTTGTTTAATTGCATATCTTTTTCGCTTACCATTGAAGTGAGATAAACAAATTAATGTCCTGCAAAAATTATCATATTTGTTTCGCATTTGCATGGAGCTGCTGTATGTTGGCATCTAGAGTTGGCTGTGTTTTTTTCTTGCGTAAAAGAACTATGTTATTCACGATATCGCTGTAATCTCTAAATGCGAACAAAGAGTATGGCAGGCATGTTGTTGGAACGTGACTATTTCACGAATTTCATGAAGAAAAAAAATGGGATTTGTTAAGTGCGCGCGAGCGAGTGCTGCTGCTGCATCCAGTTGTCTAATGCTTATAAAAAAAACTATGTATGAGTTTTGAACATATGTCGTAGTTGTTGCTGTTGTCTGGGTAGTACAAAAGGTTGAAATGCATTGAAGTCGGGCGTTGAGTGTGTCTAAATAGTCGCCATTTACAATTCGACAGTGAGTGTATGTGTGTTCGAGTATTCACATGGAGTGTGCAGTGTGCACTGCCGAGCAACATTGATAGCACGGCACACAAGAGCAGCCAGTTCATGGCAGCCCGATATTTTGAAAGTATTCTTTTCGCATAATCGGTAATATTGTTTCATATGCACACAGTGCACAATTCATGCGGCGCTGCAATAACAGCATCACACATAAGCGAGCAAGTAAAAAGAAAAAAAAATCAACGAGCAACAAAAACCCAGAACGAACCTATTGGAAAATATGTGTTGTAATGGCTTAAATATCATCATTGCATCGAAACAATCTTCGGTCGCTCATGCGGTGTGGCTTTTTTTATTCGTTGCTCCTCTCGTTGTCTTCCCATCAATGAATTACTGCTAATGAATACAACGAAAAGGAACGAGAAAAAAAATTGAAACGATTTCGTTAAAAAGCAAAATGCATAATCATGTTAGATTTTTTAGCTACTAATGAGAAAAAGGTTAACTAATTCGTTCAAGTGACTGCTGCATACGGTTTTGCAAATTTATTTTTGCACTTAGCATTTTATGATGAATTTTTTTTTTGAAACGATTTTTTGTTGTTGTTGTTGCCCACTTATCGAAAGTTGAACTTTTTTTTCTCTTTTTTTCAGATTTGTGCAAGCGAGCGATCGAAGATTTGCAACGTTCTAAGGCAGTTGAGCTGAAGCCGGACGGCAGCGTTTCAACTCTTCCTTTCGGCGTAATCATGGCCAAGTACTTCTTGTCTATTCCAACCATAGTGGCATTCCAAGGAGTTAGTTATTCGAGTTTTATTCATTATTTTTTATTGATTTTTATTGATTTCTATTGTTTGTTTGACCAAATTTAGACGATAATCCAAATATAATAACACAAATACTCAAGTAAATATTTATTTCCGATTCAAATATTTATACATCAATTTCCTCAATTCGTCAGTTACGCGGAAGTGAGTCGATCTTCGGAATTTTGGATAAAATCGTTTGTTGTAACGAATTTACGGACATTTATGTACGTAGAAATGAAAAGAAAATCTTGAATGACGTCAACTATCGTTTACGATTCCCGATACCATCAATTTCGGCGGCTTCGAATCAAATGGCTATTCAAACGGTGCCACAAAAAGTTTCATGGTAAATATTTATTCGGGCCAATGTAAAAGATATTTTATTACATAAAAAATCATATTTTTCCAATTTGGATGTTAAATCACGATATTTTCCATATTAAATTATTAATTTTGGATGTTGAATGATCGTTATCGTTTTTTAGCCTTTTGCAAGCGTTTCTAAGTGGCGAGACTATTGAAAACTCAGGCCTTCTTGTGGATCAACGGCGAATTGTTCAAATCACTGAACGAATGACCAGCAGTTTAATCGACTTCTTTCAAACCAGCCAATTCACAAACGAATGTTTCGACGCAATTCTGGCGTCGACGATTTTGATTAAATCTCTTCGAACTAAAACATGGTCGGATCGCGACGTATTTGGTGAATTGAATATTTCAAAGGCGGATGCAGACAAACTCATTAAATCCGGTGTTAACAACGTTGATACTCTGATGCAAACCAAACCGCGTGAGATTGAAGACGTGAGCTCGAATAAAATACAGATTTTTTTCAAACTAATTTCATTTTTTACATATTTTAGATTCTAAATAAAGGAATCCAGTTTGGAAAGCATTTGATTGACGAAGCAGTGAAAAAGTTTCCGTGCTATGCAGTGAATGTTGATGTCATGGCTGGCCATGCGATTATAGTTCGCGTAGCACAGACTAACTTCGGGTACACTCGCCAATCAACTACAGTGGATACCGGATTGACCTTACTCATTGGCGACTCGTGCAATCGCCTCATTTACTATGATGATATGTGAGTATTGAAACGAAAAATGGATTTATCTCTTGATTTTTTGAGTAACAATAAATTGTTCAAATACAGTCAACCTGCTCTAAATGATAGCGGATGCTTTGAAAAGTTGCTATCAATCGAATCCAAAGCCACTGTCGTACGTGTTCATGTGATTCATCATAACCTAGGTAAGGCCAATTTGAATAACAATAAGCCTAATTTTCATTGGCTAAGACACAATTTCATCGATTTTCTTCTTCAGTTGGCGCTGATAAAATGGTTGAATATTGCATCGGAGAAAAGACAACGCCAGAGAAAAATGTGACGCCAGTGAAAAAAATCAACAAAAATGTTCTACCCAAAAACAATAAAAGGAACAGCAAGAGCAAGAAATTTTTTGCGCCAAAAACACCATCGGATAAGAGTTCCAAATCGACTGGCAAACAATCAACGATGTCACAGTATTTTGTGCCAAAAATGAACAAACCTGATCAAAACACGATCACACCGCAAATAAGAAGCGCTTTTGAACCGATAAACCGAATTTCAGCATCAAAAAAACTGATATTCTCACCGGATTTATTCTCTACACCAATCGAAGCCACGCAAAAGCCAGAGCAGCTATATAATTTTGACTATTTGCCAAGTTCAAGCAATTCTACGCCTCCCAATCAACTAGGTGATGTGTACATCAATCAATCAGACGAAGTGAAGCAAACACCATGTTTGGCGGAGACACCGATCCAAAGCAAGATTCAGGAACAACGAAACAAACAAGACGGATCGATGAATGGTTTTGTGCGAGCCAACGCAATTTTCAAAAATGACATTGTGAATGACTCCACCGTTGAAAAACCAGCTGACACTCGAAAACAGTCTTCGATTCATCATTTGTGTTTGGACAACATCGAATCGCTTTTTGCTGACTTTGATCAAGTGGAAGATGTTGACCAAGTGGAAGATGAAGTTTTGCAAATTTTGGGGCGTCTTGATAGTCCAGATCCATCAAATTCTCAAACAAAAACACGCGGCATGGCAGACGCTCCAATGCATAAGAAAGATTGTGACGAAAGTATTCAGAAAATTCTGAATGTGAATGTGAAAATTGATTCATCAGAAGTGATCAAAAATGACTTTGATGATAGCGATGAATGGCTTAACCAAGTCGAAATGCCACAATCCTGTCAACCAAGCGAATGTATAGATCTTCCCTCCGAATTTTGGAATGATTTTAACTCGGATGACAGCACAACCAATCACGTCGAAAAGGATACATATAACGATGAACCGCCGGCTAAAATCATGGCAATTAAAAATGTTGGTGAGAAAAACTCAACCGTGGTGAGAGTATCACCACCCAAGCAGAGAACGGTTTTATCCAGTCCAAACAAACAGCAGCCAAGCACATCAGCCTTGAGCGCAAGTCAGGTTTCTGCAAGCAGCAATGAAGCAGTATGCGGATCGCCGAAACGAAATGAGTCATCTGCTGAACTTAAGTCACCAGAACCATCCATCTCGCGGATGAATGTGAGTGAATTCGCATTTCGACCACCACCCAAAATGCTGCCAAGTACTTCACGCCAGACAAACATGAAGCGAAGTGCAAATTACACGGAACCTAAACCATTTGTACCGAAGAAGTCAAAGCTGATTGATGTCTTGATGAAGAATGGCGAGAAGAAGCAGAACGAATATGGGCGGACAATCAACAGTCTAACGTAAGCATTTGAAACGAGGAAACGATTCTTTTTCCTAGTTTGAAGTCTCATTGAAGAAGCATTTGATTTTACTTCGAAATTTTAAATTAAAATAGTTTCATTAATTGGGTTTGCTTTTGCTTTCAACAGAAATGGAAACGTGAAACAACAAAAGGTCGGAAAGACATCATTAAAACAGGTGTTCACTCGTATAACTCGAAATGAGCCTAAGCCGGATGTTGACGCAGATATGATGCTTGAACAATGCAAAGAACGACTAAAAACCGACGCAAACTACAATGAACATGACTTTGCTCGCGACTTTTGTAAATATAAAATTCTCAAACTGGCTCCACCCAATCCTCAGTTAAATGATGAAGAAGACACAATGTTCCCTGATTTGGATGAATTGACTCACGTCAGCTACGACGACAATACATTCAATTTTGCAACACCATCAAGTTGTTTGTCATTCAACGCGTAACTGGTGCAGTATACCTTGTACTGATTCGATCATTGTAGTCGTTGGATCGATTATTTATTAATGTTAAATTAATTTCTGTCGATTTCTATTTACATCACAATTCTGTCGAGTCAGTGAAGACATACAAGTGTCAAACTTCTCTTTTAATATTTTTATTATTGGTTCTTTTCCTAGGGTGTTCATTTTCGTAAAATATTCATCATAACCTAAACATGTACATATGTCGCTATTTCGTTCGAAAAAAAGAAGCAGAATAAAATGTTCAATGGTGAGAATAAAATCATCAATGAATACAAATTGATGTTCAAGCTACAAATCCATGATACATGATACATGTAGTGTAATTACAAGAGCAATTAAAAATTGTCGATGAAATTGAAAGTAATTATAAAATTGTTCAAGAAAATTAATTATGATTCTGTCTTTTTCTTTGTTTATTACTTCAAAGTAATGCGGGTCCAAAAATAGAAGAAGAAACAGAAAAGGAAAACAGCTCCAAAACTTGACTTGCATACGATTTGCTTTATTTAACATCAATGGTTTTTGTTTTATTGAAACGTAAGTCTATCTTCACACCCATACAATTAACTTGGTATTCTCGATGAAGGTTAGAAAAGAGAGAGAGAGAGAGAGAGAGTTCTTAAATATTCCAGTAAAGTAATTTATGTCAAATAAATATGTGTTTATTATAGAGTTGTTCGGTAAATATTGCAGTATTTTGTGCCTATCTTCAACTGGCCGCTTCATTTTTCAATCGTAAAATTTGCTATGGCATCCATTTTTCTGGAAATAAAGAAAAAAAAATCGTTACTAAATGTTTTTGTGTCAGAATATAACGGAAACTGTCACTAAATATGTTTATGCTATCTGAAAAATTCATTCAGCTACATGTGTTTACCTCTAAATTTGTCGCAGCTTTATTTTTACCACCATTCCTACCGCCGAGTGCGGCCAAGTTGATGATTTTCTTCCGTGCGGCGTCATCAAAAGTCAAGGAGGTGCGTGATTTCTTCAGCATACTGCTAAATAGGTGACGATCCCGTTTGTTAAAGTATGCGGAAAAACCCTCGTGTTTGGGATGAACGTGGCCGATCTTATCTGCCGATGAGTCGCATGCCGTTGATCCGGATGCGTTATGGCAATGACCATTCAGATGGTTGATATCAATGCCATTTCCATTCGGATGAACATGTACTTTATCGTGATCATCGCAACTGTTGCTTCGGTTATACAATTTCTTGACGCGATTTTTAATCGATTTGCGATGTTGACCGAAACGTTTGCGCAGATCAGCGAAAGTGGTTGACGTTTCATCTTTACCATTTTGCAATTGCTGCTGTTGTTGTTGTTGTTCCTTCTTCCAGCGTGTTATCTCGACTAGCGTATCAATGTTTATTTTGGAAAAGTATCGCCACAACGGGCTTTTCGTTGATAGCTCCGGTATATTTATCTGCCGTTTTTAAAGAGATACACATCGAGTTAGATCGTTTAAAAGTCAATAAAAATAAATATTCAATCAAACTCACTGGCTCATAAATATTCTCGTCGTCGTATTCGTCTTCACAACCATCAACACAGTCGGCTGATAGTTGAAGCACCTGCAGATAAACAAATCAAATTCATTATAACTGAGAAAAAACAATCGCAAACATAATTGAGTTATTATTTCTCATTACCTCTTCATAATCGCCGGAAACCACGTGAAAACTGTTTGGACGATCGCGTCGTTGAATAAATTCGATGCCGTGTTGTTCATCCAATGATTTCTTTTTCGCGCGATGCTCGTATTTATCTCTGAGATTGACAACCGCATAAATTGGTTCGCCGTCTTTTGTTTGGACTAGCTGCTTCGTTGCATCCGTACTGTCTTGAGTGCTACGGTCTTTGGGTGCTGTAAGCAATTGAAATTTGGTCGCTGATGCTGTTGACGCATTTGAAACACCTGACGAACCCGAAGACATTGAAGATGAACAAGATAAAGATGGTGAGGCAATTGATGAGTTTGCTGACGTTTTACGCACGCAAACCGCATGCATGTTCGAATTTTTATCATTTTCCATCGAAATACGCTGAATTTGCTCTGCCAACGTGCTGAAAAATACATAACAAAAGGCAAATTAACGCAATTAAACGCATGCAAATACAAAACAATGTTTCTTTTCTTCGTTTAAAACACAATTTTTCTTAAAACATTGTATAATTCCCGGTAGCTAATGAAATCATTTGCTTAGTCACCAAACGCAGCATAACCAACGATCTACTTATTCACTGAACATCAGTAATTCAATTACGTCAACGAGAGAGAAACAACATGCACGAGCTAAAACAAAAAAAAAATCGCTTGTGTTTTTTTAAAAACGGAAAAAAATAATTCAACGACTTCTTCTCTTTTCACGAAGATAAAATCTGCGATAATATTATCCGGCTGTTGTTGTTCCTCTCGTTGTTTTGTCACGCATCGCTCGCACATCGAATGTTATTATGACAAAAATAAAATCACTCTATCGTGAAACACTCACACAGAACATACGTATTTACAAACGATTTCTAAGAATGCATGATTCAAAATGCTTAACAACTTACCAATTTCCGTTTTCAAAACGGTGCGTTGGTTCTGCATCCATGATTGTGATTGAATGGCGATTACTATTTTTATCAAGACCGTTATTGTCGGCGGCTGCCTTCAATTTGGTGATACACATGTGATTGTCGTCGGTTGACATTTCATTCACTTCCCTTATACGGTGATGATGATGATGGTGATGATGTCGGCGCCGTAAATGTTCATTCCGTGTCGATTTGCGTGGATCAACTAATTCACCGTTTGCTGTTAAAATCGATTTAGCACCGTGGTGGCTTTTACTGGTCACACTGATAGCGTTCGCGTTGAACATACGATTTATTTGATGCACTTCAAACGACTGATTTCCATGTGACTCGTTTGGATGCAGCCGAAAGTTTTGAACCCTAAAAATAACACATCAACACAACAACAAATTATTAAGCAGGCAGCGTGTGTATAGAAAGAAGACACTGAAAGAGAGCGAGAAGAGAAAAGAGCGAAAACAACACTCAAACGCTCGTTGTGAACGAGAACGAGAGAGAGAGAGAGAGAAATCCCAACACTGATATTCTAACGTCGGAGGCTCGACAACGGTGTAAAATATTCATGAAAACCGTGAAAACATGAAATTGTATGCGCTAAAGCGAGACAACGACCAAAGAGGAGAATGAAAAAAGAAATATGTTCTAGCTCGTGCGTAATGAATTTCATAGGGACTTAATAACAAATTTCTTCCATCTCTTTTTCGCCTTTTATCTGTGCGGTCGCATCATGACTGAGCAATGGTCTTCAATATGTGTGCTACACTTCAGTGCTGCTTGCTACTTCATCGTTGGAGAGGCGAGAGCAAAGAAAAGTGAATTTGTTCGACAGTGAGTTTGGTCATATATGGATGAATCGCAATTGGGCTAGGCGAGAGAGAGAAAGAGATTTCGTTTTTTTTTATTTATAACTTATTACCATGAAAAGTCCACACGACCGAAGCAATATCGTATAGAAAAAGTACGGTGTTTTGTTGTAATTTTGTATCCAACCTTTCTACCACCACACTGCCAATGCTTTGAGTTCACGCAATCATTAGGTTTTTTTGTCTGTTTCTGTGTGTTTTTGTTCTCGCTAGAAAAAACTCTGGGTTGATGTTCAACGTCTACATCAATACTGCGCAGCTCCAGGTCCATGCAATACGTGGTGCCTGCCAACGTTTTTTTTCCTTCTGTTATTGTCTATTTTTGTTCTAACGACTCACACATGCTATCAACAAAACACATAAAACTGGATTGAAACACTCGTTTACGTTTTTCCATCGATCCTGTGCATACATACGATTCTCTTTTTTCTCTGTTGTTTTAGCAAAATGAAACTTTTACCGAGGTTTTTTGGTTTTCGTATTTTTTTTTCTACATAAAATTCAGGAAATGACATCAAAAAAGAAAACAATCGACAAGCGCATGAATGGATGAACGAGAGAGGAACGGCGTCGAGATAACATCTATTTGAATAGTCTGTGTTTGGTTGGGATGATCGAAACCAAAAGAGATCAAATCACTATTACAACATAGGTAAACTAAAACTGTGCACCATCACATTCTAATGCACAGTATGCCGAAGGGATCTCAAACATGAACAAACACATTTTTAAAACATCAGACCAATTTCCTTCTTCTTCTCTCCGACGGTGTGCACTCTTCGATTCGAGTGTGAGTGATCGACTCTGGGGATGGTGTGTGCGAGCTGCTAGATTATTCATCGAAAATCCGAAACAATGGCATATGCACGGGCAGTACATCAAAAAAAAAAACTGTACATTCTCTTTGTCATTTTTCTCTTTCCAACTCTTCCTGTCTGTCTATCTATCTCTCTCTTTCTCTCTCTCTCTCTCGATTTTCGACCGCACTCAATGTGTTCATAGCTCTTTTTTCCCGATAGTTTCTTTGTTAAAGTTTAAAAACCGATTCAACTGGATAAATCGAGTATTTAACTTTTCTTCTCGGTCCGTGTATGGTAATTGTGGGTTTGGTTATTCTTTTTTATACCGTTGTCATCGCATTTGTTATTGTAGTCATCTTCGTATGAATGCACACAGTACACAGCTCCACGCGTATTGTGTGAGCGCCATCCATGTAGGATGGCGTTTGGCGATTACTTTTATAAAAAAGTTTGTAGGTGCTTTAAACGCATGCTATTTCATCATACATGCAGCCCATCATCATCATATATTCAATTGTATTTAGAGCACGGGTGTATCGAGAAAAAAATGTTTCTAAACGCAAGAAAAACAGTCTATCCATTTTGAACGCAATGAAAATCCACCTATCTGGTGAACGTAACGAAAAAAAATTGTGTTCTTTGTCGATAAAAATAGAAGAAAGAGTATGAGCGCATCGACCACTTGATGTGAAAATTTAATAGAAAAGATTCAAAAAAGCCACTCACTAATGTTTATTGCAGTGATATTCTAATATTGCCGCCAAACAATGGGAAAAAGCAATTCGAAAAAAGCCACATGATGGCCCCTATTAAGGAACTATTCGTCGGCGTATGGCTTTGTTGTCTGTCTCGACTTTGAACAATTCTAACGGATCCGCAGCAAACATAAAGATGCATTAGGTGTGACTTAATCAAAAGATTCACCGTTTATCGGTTGTGAATGCATTTTTGGATTGAGGCTTTTTTTCATCTTTTGATTTGAATGCGGTTGAGTAAGTTGCTTTTTCAAGTGGAAATAACTTAGTGAAATACTAACGAGTTAAATTGGAAAGAGAGAACACAACTGAAATTGCATCGTTCAAAGTCACCGATGAAATGGCATTTTTGTTCCTTGGATTTGTGTTGTTTTCTGTGTGCGGAAAGTGTGAAAAGATTTTTAGCGTCATTTCCGATGATGTTGCACATTGGCCACACAATGACCAACACTGCAATTGGCTAACCAATTAATTGACAATAGTGGCGATCCACAGTTACTCATTTTTAACACACATCCATTCTAATTGGAAGAGAGAAAACCTTGAATCGATTGAATGAATGACGTGGTCAAAATAGGGGGAAAACATTTCAAAAGAAGATTGAATTTTAAAAGAAGAAAAAAACGGTCTATTTCACACAAAAAAGGAGTTAATATTGTCTGCGTATTGTTGAATTTAATTAAAATATATGGTCGAAACGTACAATGTATTTCGATTAATTCGTTGTCATGGGCCCGTGGCTTGTGACTGAACGTGTGCACGTTCAAAGCGGAAACATGGTAAAATTAATTGATTTTCTTAATTGCTGCTAAATTGTTTGACATCAACTTGATGCAATACGTTGGCATTGTTTTGCCTTTTTTTTCTGTTGCCAGCCATCGAATTCAGTTTAAACAAATCTCGTGTAAAACAATGCCAAACAAAAATGCTTGTCAATAATTGTGGCTTTTGCCGCGTTGAAATTTATTCTCGTTGTCGTCGTCATCGCAAACATACAAAATCATTTGAATTATAACATTGGAAAAGCGACACCATGTAATTTATCATATACTTACTGCTGAGTCACTGCTTCCTTTTTCGCATTGGTGCCAGTTTTACTGGGCTGTGTATTTTGAGCACGTTCCAATATTCGGGCCGTATTCTGTGCCACTGGTAGTTTTGGGTTAACTTTAGCCTTTTGTGATCGATAGATGGAATCACAACTGCGCGACGACATAAACGATGATGCGGGCGAAGTAGACGACGATGATGATGCTGATGCTCGCGTCTTGGATAAATTCTCCATCGAATAATGTAATTTACACGATGCTCTTTAAACGTAGCAAAAAAAAATTCATCCATTCAGAAAATATTCAGGTCACATATTGTCTTGCTATTCCACACTTACTTTTTGTAGTCAGTTGACTGAAGCCCAAGGCTTTCGACTAGTGCTGATATCCATTCGGAGCATTCTTTGTTATTATCACAGCGCTGTTAATTAATTTCGTTATGCATAAGTCATTTAATTGGTTTTGGATTTTTTTTTCTCGAGAATTTTGGCTTCTGTGGAATCGGTAGAATCCAACACTGGATATGATGGTACTTACGTAGGTGTAGATGAGATTAGTCGATGTTTCGATTGTGAATCGCGGTCCTTTCGATGGTCGCACAACCGTTCCCGGCACTAAATTCAGAACGTCTTTAAATGGCGCCAACTTTTTCTCATAATCCTCTTTCGATGAATATGAAAGTAGCAATTGATTTTGTAGAACAAACCATAATTTGCGCCATCCGCCCATTTTCTGTTGGTCGATCCCGAACCGAATGAAGAAGATGGAAAAAATAGCGAAATCAAATTAAGAAATCTTAAAATGATAATTGTATGCAAATAAATCATTCGAATCAACGATTGTTTTGTGTCACGTTTATTAGAAGACCGAGTTTGGCGATTAAATATATGAAATTGCCGCTAATGCCACCAAATTAAATATATCTACGCATCTAAATATAGTGATTTAAAAGTAATTTTGGTTGAAGCAAGAGAAGAAACCGCTATTTAGCGATTCGTCATCGATTTCATTGGATTAAATTCGCAAAAATGTTTATTGAATATCCAACAATGAAATCTCAATAAATGATTGGATCGAGCAGTTGTTATTGAGATTTAATGTGATTTTCAAAAGGAGAAAACCGTCGAAAAAATACGGTTTTTTCGTAGGTACAATTTTTTTTTTCGTTTCTTTATATGGCAGTAGTGTTGCCAAAATAAAATAAAATCACTAGCAACATGCATGTTAATCAGCTTTTTGTCGATTTTCATTTTGACCATTGGTGGGCAAAAAAAAAATATAGAAAAAAGTGACTATTTTATCTGATCGTATTTTAAATCGAATGAATGAAGTTGAACAAAAAAACAAGCGAATTTACGAAGATTATGTAACGAGATGAATGTGGTGGCTTGTGTGCGGTATTTCGGTCCATACACGCTCACTCACTCCAGGCGAGATTATTTAACTTTAATTATACTCGAAAAATTTTGGTAGATGTATTTTTATACCGTTGCGATTACGTATATGTAAATGATGATATGATTTTCGGCGTTGGCCCAGTAAATCACTTGAATTTGAGTGGAAAATGAATTTCGAAGCAATTAAACGTGAAAAAAAGTCGAGATTATTATTATGACATGGAAAGTAAGGGAGGCATGGGTGCCAATAAAACAAAAAGTTTGTCTGCATAAATACACGATATTCATGACTTGGTTCTACTGGAATGAGTTCGTGCGGCTGTGAGTATGTATGTGTGTGACGTGAGTTACAAATTTCTCTCTATTTGACTAACGCTTTTAATTATACATTTCACATTTGGCTGCACAATATAACATATCTATCACGTTTTCGCTTACATTTCGTTTCTTCTTTAAATAACCGCTCATATTTAGGTGTGATGCGATGGTTGTGGGCGACGGTGTGGCTGATTTTGTTATTACCGCCGCTGCTGTTCCTCCTGCTGCTGTCGCTGTTTTCGTTGTCACATCTGATTTATACAATGCAGTGGAATCTTCGGTTGAATTCGATTTCGCGGTCGATGCATTTTGCAGCACCATTTTTTCACCAGTCGACAATGGTACCGAATTCACCTGCAATGGTAGTAACGGTTGACTCGATGTCGGTGCTAATGGAGCACTTTTACTTTTTTTCACTACGAACTTTTGCATTTTCCTTCTCGCTCACTCACACACTTTTCACACTTGTTTCACTGGCGGTGTGTTTTTAATGCCCTTTAAACCAACGGCGTGATTTACTTGTTTTTACTCTTCTTGTTTCACGTTTTATTCGCTGTTTGCTGTTTTGTTTGTAAATCGTTTCGTTTCGATTCGTTGTGTTTGTTCGAAAGTTTTCACTTGAAATGTGTAACAAATCGTATGGTAATTTAACACATTGTAAAATCGCCTATTATTTCCGATGCATGTACGGTTTTCTCTACACCATGCTGGTTTTCTGTCATTGCCGGCAACGACTACGACGATATAAGGACAACGACTCCCATCGGAATTGTGCTATCGTAGGAATTCAATGCAAGATTAAATGTCCATTGTCCTCGTTCGCATTTTTTGCATTCATTTTACGAACAATAATCGGGTAGCTGCGCCGTGTTTTAGCTGCTCCTCAACTTATGAAATCCACTGAGCGGAGAGTTTCTTTCTGGAAATAAACATAAAACGTACTTTGACATTGCCATTTTTATCTATTGTCATAAAACTATACTGCATGAGTATGAAAAAAATGGAGACAACGAACCAGTTCGTTGACTCACTCGTTTATCGCATTCGATTGTGTATGCATCATGAAGCTACTGCATTAGATGTTAGCATAATCGAGAACGAGAATATCGTAAAAATATATACATAATCAGAACACGCTCTGATTTGTCTAAAAGTCGGTGAAATATCCGTGCTGAACGCATAGATTAACATATGACCCAAAGAAAAAAACGCTTCAGTATTCAAAGCGGGCGTAATATAAATAAAACGTGACAAAATTAGCTTGCACCTAAACGAGAACGGACGTTCGGAATGAATGACTGCGAAAAGTGAAATGAACACGGTTTGACATTGTTCACATTGGGTGTCACGGCACTTTCTTTCAACGTTATCCGCGTATGAATGCGCGCGCCCGCGTCCGCTCGCTCGTGATTTTATAAAATGTTAATGGATTCATGTCTCTTGTTGAAAGCATTTATGAATTGTTAAACAATTGGTGCGATGTGTTTTAAATGGAATTACACTACAAATGAAACGATGTAAAATGAGAATTGAAATGGATGAAAAAACGCAAGAAAATTCGATACGCACACGTAACAACATTGAGGCGACCGGTTTTATTCAAAACACACACTCAAATGACAAACTGAAAACCACCATGTGATTAATAAAATGAAAACAAGAAGAAGAAGTAACAGTTTCAAGTTACATGCAATCGCTGGGTCGCGCGCGCACTTTGCGTGTGTGCCGTTTAGTGAATTATAAAATTGTAGTATGTAGATAAATATAAATAACGGTCGTTGCTCTGCTCATTCTCCCGTTTTGTCATAAAATACAGTGCACACCGTCATCGACGTCGTCGTCATGTTGTGTGCTGTCACTTTTGTGATTGCGCGCGCGGGGCTGCGGCTATGCAACCGAGAAGAAGCCGATTGTCATGCAAATGAAGAAGCCAAACAAGCTATGTCGACAATTTCATCGCCTGCTACCGGCCACTCCTCAATACACAAACATTCGCTCCACTCTCATTGATTTAAAGTGTATCTGTTTGAAATAAAATTCAATACTTTTTCGACCTTTCCATTCGTGCGTTAAGCAACGAAAAGAAAAAAAAAACAACAACGAAAGTGAAAAGACAGACTCCCATTCCATTTTTACGCGACTTCGATCTCAACACGTGAGCATGATAATTGTTGCAATTTTATCTCTCTTCCTATTTGGTGACAACGTAATTTTAATTTCATCGCTCTTTTTTGCTCTTTCGCCAGATTCGACAAATTGATTTATACTATCGCTTATTTGGAAAGTTTGCAGCTTGATTTTGCGGAAGCAACATCAACTCTATGCTGCACACAGCTTTCACCACGCAATATGTACGTTTTTTTTAAATCGAGTGGGTTTCGCGTGACATCACTTTCGTAATTTAATTCTCTTGTGTCGCGGTTTTTTTCCCTATCTGTTGTTGTTGAGCAAGTGCATACGCTCGACATGCTCGGTGTCGAATTGAGTGATTCTCTCGATTAATAAATTTTCATCTGACAGAGATTCGACGGCAGCACAGGAATAATCCGCTGTGGCAAACACAAGAAATTAACTCACAAGATATACCATACACATAAAATAGATGCAATTAGAATGAATGGAGATGCGCCTCCAACGGAGATGATAATGGGCAAAATTGAATTCGTGCAGAATTTTCATGGCGGCAGCGACGACGGCAAATTGCATTCCACAGACGAATCGCGCGCGAAATAATGAAGCAGATTTTTCGAAGCGCAACTGATTCAGTTAAGATCCACACTTGAATCCCGTAAGCAGTGATTCGAATGTTATGATTTCTTTCTGACGCGCGCTTTGACTGCTTTAAAAACGCAATTTTCGTCGTCAATCACGTCTATTTTGCATCAAGTGGCAAATTGTCTGCTTTATGTTCTGTGTTGTATTTTCGTTCATTATGCGAATTGTGCATCCGAGACGGCATAAAAACGATGAACAATAAAGAAAGAAACTCTTTCATCGCAATTGTTTCGGTAGAAAAAAAAGAAGAAATTGTCAATTTCGCTTAGTAGCCGTACTCAACTTTACATAATATGCATACCGAATCGAGAACACAGAAACATTCCAGACAGACTCAGACAAAGTCAAACAAAATAGAGTCTTTTGCTTGATCATGTCACTCAAATGGAATCATTCGCAATAATTGCTATTGTGTTTTGTATGTGTGTCGTTGTTGTTTTTTTTTTGCTTCATCTTCTTCACAGCGGTTTGCGGTTCTTGTGTGCTAACTGCGTATTTCATGTTAGTTTTAAGTAATGTTGCCTGTGGATTACCATGGCTGTTCACTGAACATACAGATTCTGTTAAATAAATTGACTACTGGCGAGCAATAAATTGACGGAAAATTTGAATGTCATTCGCATAAGCATTACAATTATGATCGTATTATGATGTGAAAACAAACATAGGCCTTTTTTGTCTCTCTGACTCAAAACAGATCAACTGCTCATCATCAAAGCCATTTTCTCGCGGTATTTGGTCATTTGTTGCTAATCATTTGGTGGATCTACGCTTAACATATTATAAAAACGTTGTTATTTTCTTTGTTTCAACACTTGGGCCCGTCACCACTTTTATTCCAAACATAACGAATATTTTCCGTGCGATTTTTTATCGTTCTTCGTTCTTTTTTCTAAATACTTCTATTCATCTGATGATATTCTGAAAGATTCACATCAATTATACGTTTTTTTCTGTCTCAAATCTTTCCGATGAGATTCCTTGAATATGACGCAAGAAACAAAGTGTTTTGGTTTTTTTGTGTTTGTACACCTGTGAGTATGGCCGAATGAAAAAAAAAATCCGTTGATTACTATTTCATCGATGGACGGCCAATTACTATTAATGAATTCAACTTGTTTGTTTTTAGTGTTCACATTCGCTTGCCTGGCGAATGGCACCTGAATCGATTTCTGGACAAGTAAGGCAATATATGCTGCTGTGCCATGAAATTGCCCAATCGCAACAATTTGTAATAATAATAAAGTTTAATGTTGATATGAATGCCATATTCGAAAACGTAACGATGGGCCCATATTTGAATGTACACGTGAAATACACGTCGGCGTACCACAACGAATGGCTCATCATCTGTAAAGAGCATAATAATTTCGCCCGAGTGAAAAACAATAGGAAAATTGTCACACTTTTTGCCGACGCCGAATTGACGATGTTGATGATGATTTGAATATATAGTTTTGTGTTTGTGATGTCATTGTTATGTAAGTAGAACGAATTTCTTGCTCCGTAAAATGTGTACTGCGTCTGGAATTCAAATTTGACGATGAAACCGTGTCGAATATGCTTTGTCCTATGGTTTATTTTTTTTCTTTTTCAATAAATATTTTATGCTAAACCTTGCGACATTGCATTCATTTCTAAGGTATGTTATGCACAGAGCCGGCTCCCGCAACACTGTACGCTACACACATAAATATGATTGCAACATGGTGAAATAAAACACAATACGAGCGACATTTCAAATGGAAAACGGCTACGCAGACGTATCATACCAAAAACGGTTTGAAACTATAAAATAGAGCAAATATTATTCTGTATCGGAATGTGACAACACGTATTGTTTTGAAAAGCACAAGTTTATCGTCATTTTCCAAACCATCCTCCGCTTCGCATTGTTACAATGTTATCGCTCGATCTATGACAATTTTCATTTTTTTTTGTTCAACGCAGTTCTTGCTTTGTTCGCACCGATGTATTGCAAACGTTGACAATAATAAAATCGAATGCGACTCTTTTTTTTCGAGGGATTTCAACACCAACACTCACCGAGATTTGCTGGAACTTTTCGTATGGACAAAAAAGGTTGTGTTCTGACGGCTTGAAATCAGATGAGATGAGATGAGCTACGAAACTGACCAGAGATAGGCTTTTTAACACCCACAATTGAGTGAATAGAACGATCGACCAAAGTTTCACGAAAACAAAGAATAGCTAGAGAATAACGTAAAATATATGGATAGACACAAGGCAGAACGATATAATTAACGTCACATATTATATGAAACTCTTGTGAGATCGACAACAATTCTAACGGTATCACACCTCTGAACACTTAATGCATGCGTCAATGTGGTTTTTACTTTTTATTTGTTTCTTTTGTATGCTTGTGCGTTTCCGTCGCCTTTTTTCCGGTGTCGCTTTTCCCATTTGACATCGATTACACGTAAGTTGCTATGCTAATTACCGTAGATTATTTACTTTTTTTATTGGACATTCTCTTCATTTTTTTCGCACTCGTATTGAATCGCTCTTTGTTTTTTTCCCTGGTATCTAAACAGGTGTTTGACTTTATTCTAGTTCCCGTTGCGAGATTAGTGGAAAATCTAGTATAAATAAAAAAAAATGGGTTCTATTGATGGTGAGAAGAAAATAAGAAATAAGCAGCGACTGTTGCTGCAACGACGAAAACGAAAGATAGCTGCTGTTTCTTTTCTTATGCATTTTCAATTATTTAATTAATCATGCTGGGTATGCGAATGAGTGTGTGTATGTGATACAATGGTTGCTACTGGTTATTCGAGCATTATTTTTCACACATATTTCTTGTGTCGTCTATTGTTTTTCTTTTTCGCTCGTGTTTTCACGTGAATGAGAGAATTTTCGACGGGATTTCATTCCATTTGAATACTACATTTTATTCCCTCCGTAAGTCGTTTTTTATGGCTTCGGGCAAATCGTTTATTTATTTTTTGGTTTTCGTTTCTCTCTGTGGAAAATTCTGTGAAAAGATCAATTGAAGCGTTTGTTCCGAATTGTTTTGGTGCGCAAAAATGTGCAACGACACATCTATAAATATGTTCTTTTCATTCCAAAAAATAAAATAAAACACACACACTCACACAGCGGATATGACATCATTCTAATGTTGTGGAGCGGCAGCGAAGAAAAAAAGACGTTGAGGGTAATTACTGGGCTTGCTTTTTGATGGCATACCATAACACTTCTATTCACAATGGCAAACAAGAGATAATTTAGTTGTC